TGGAGCTCTTGGTGCCCCCTCACTAAACCTCATGATTGCCAGAATCAGAGCATGAAACCAGCAAAATGGAGCCTTGAAGTTCTCCGAGAGGGGAGTGACTCAAGCCAGCAGAGAATGCGCCCTTTGACTTAATTCTGCATCCCAGCCTAGCAGATCAGACAGGCTTTCTAATAATCTCAGTAAAGGCTGTCCCCTCCAGTGCTCTCCACAGTGGTCCCGGGAAGTGGGAAGAATGAAACTGTCGCTTGTCAAGTGCAGATGACCACCCACGCTCACCAAGGGGTGAGCTGGAAGCCAGACCCCCTGTGGAGCACCCAGCAAGGTCCGGAAGTAGCCAGGATGTTGCTGCCTTTGCTTCAGTTCGATGTTTCCTGCGCAGCTGCTGTGAGTTACTTCCCTCCCACGGAATACAGGCAGGACCATTCTTCCTTATCAGGAGTGGACCCTCCGGGCTGAAGTCACTACTGCTCTTCATGAGCAGCGTCCTCCCTAATTGCCTACTTGGTTTTTTGTCTTTGTTTGTTGTTGTTGATACCATAGTGGCAGGCAAGTGCTCTACTGTGAGCTACTTCTCCAGCCTTTTTTATTGTTCTATTTTGAGACAGACATATATAACGGTGTTCTATGCCCTGTATAGAACTGTGTTCTACACGCTGGACCTGGATAACCCTGCCCATCCTCTCTAGGTTTCTGATCTACCCTGTACACTGCTGCCAGAGAGTGTAAGGTGGACACAGACCTGATGAGACACTCAGAGCCCTTCATAGCCCAGACCCAAACATCTCCCTGCTTTCATTCTGTATTTCTACCTCAGGACCTTTGCTCATGTTACTACCCTGGCTGTCTCACATCACTTCACATCTGTCTCCAAAATGGTTTAAAGCTTACTTTCAAGGTTTTTCACATGCCTTCTAATGTGCTCATACAAAGCAGTCACTCTCTGGAATTTCCACAGAAGTATTTCCATATTCCATCTTTTAATGTAGTAAGTACTCAATAAATAGGTTTATTTTTGTTTGTTTATTTAGTACTGAAGCTTGAACTCAGGGACTTTGTACTGAGGCCTTTTTTATTTTTTATTTTGAGACAGGTCTTGTCTAGTAACTAAATTGCCCAAGCTGTGCTGGAACTCAAGATTCTCTTGGGTCAGCCTCCCTGAGTGCTGGTATTACAGGCATGTGCTATCACCCCTGGCTTTACTTTTTTAGAAACTTTTAATGTTTTTTGCCATGATGGAAATCCAATCCAGGACCATGTGCATGCTAGGCAAGTTTTCTACCACTGAGTAACACCGTTAGCCTCAATAAATGTGTTTAAAACTAACTTCAGCAGCTTCTGTTATAACCATTCATTTCAGAACACATTTTCTCCACCCTCACTGACTATAAGCTTGATATCTCTATGTACCTCATCTGGGCCCGGGGAGCATACGTTCAATAAATGTATAGTGAACTGAGTAGTGGATATTTGATAATTCTTACTGAACAGGTAAATGCACTGAAATGAGTGTATCTAAATGGAGCTAGCAGCTCAAATGGGGTCTATATTACTTTCTCCATTACATTTCTGTATGACTTAGTGCAAGTGGCCAAAACACCCAGTTTCATCTAGAGTGTTCAGGCCAGTGTCACGTGGCTCACCTGTATGAAAGGCCCAGGCTCAAATGTGGCCAGCACTCCCTCTTTAGCCTCCTTCTCTGCCTCTCTCTGCATGACCTTCTGCTTTCTAATTGGTCATCTCCTTCCTTATGCCAGCAAACACGGCTCCTAACCCTTCCAGAGTCTCTCGACTCACTCTTCTGTCTTTGATCTTAAACTCAAAAATCTCAGAAAAGGATGTAATTGGCTTGGCATGAGTCAGATGAGGGTGAGACCGCTAATAAAATGATAGTTCCCATCTTAACAGCGAAGAGAAAGAGTATTTTAAAGAAGCCATACGTGGGCATGGTGGCACACGGCTGTATTCCCAGCACTTAAGAGGCTGGAGCAGGAGGATCACTATGAGTTTGAGACCAGCCTGGGCTACATAGTGAGTTCAAGGACAGTCTGAACTACTTAGCGAGACTGTCCCAAAAAACAAACAAAAAGCCAGGGATTTAGCTCAGTGGCACTGCACCTCCCTTGAAAGTGTAAGTCCTGAGCTTGATCTCCAGTACCAAAAGAAACCAAACAAACAAACAAACAAAAAACAAACAAAAAGAAGCCCTGGGTCCAGGCACAGGGAAGATGGGTGCCATTCTAGTCAAGGCAAAGCAGTAGGTATTCAAACAGGAAGGGTGCTGTCCATATTCAAGGGTAGAGCAGGGAAAGGATGAGGGGCCTGGGACCTGACGTGGGGCTCCCAGAGGCAGAGCAGTGCTGGCTGCATTCCCTCCAGCTGGATGAGAACAGCCTGACTGAATTTCCAAGGGGCAGTGCCCTCCCTCTTGCCCAGAGGGGCAACTCCACTTTCCCACATCCAGTAGTTATTTTTATGGATAGATTTATTTTTACTCATTCTAGACCTCAAAGCTGTTGCTGGAAGAAACAAGGCACTGAGGGTGCTAGGTTTCCAGAAAACGGACTGCCATGGCTGGCTCTGGCCCGCTCTGGGGGCACCTTGAGCCAGCTCTCCCATCCCTCTCTCCTGTCCACAGGGGCCCGGGGTGGGAATGGAGTCGGCAGAGGATTCTTCTGTCAGTCTGCAGCCAAGGGAGAGCACTGCACAGAGAGAAGGGAAGACCCGAAGCCATATTCCTAGTGTGTCCAAGAATCCCAGCCAGCCAGAGCGGTGACTGACCTCAGAGTGGGCATCCTCAGAGCCTCCCTTGGGGACCCTGTCTCCCTGGAGTCCGGGGAGCTTGAGGAGAGGATCTTGCCCTTCAGATCCTATCTAGCTCCTGATGGGCATTGTTTCCTGCTCTACAGGCCAGGCAGCCAAAGTAGTAGGCTCACACATCTGGCTTAAACTGTTATTCCTCCAAGACAAGTTTACTGAGCAGATAGGCGATTCCTCCACACATAGCCCTGCAGACAAGCTTAAAATATACTTTAATACATTTAAAGAGCCAATTTGAGACAGGCTTCTCATGATAAAGATGCAACTGACACTCACTGGGCACTAGAAGGTCAAGTTGTTGTCCTCCAGAGGGGCACCTGATATGCCCTTAAATCTGAAGCTCTGTCCAAGGGATGCCTTTCCCATGGCTCCCTCAACAACTGACTTGGGCTCCCAGAAGTTGACATTTTGGAGGACTTACCAAAATTTAACAAAGTACCACCTCCATCTCCCAATGAAATGCCTTGGAGAGGTAAGAGGGACCAGAGGGCTGTGGCAGGGTGGGGAGCCAATGAGAATAAGTGTTACTTTTGGTGTCTTCTAGGTGCTTCCAGGGTGAGGCCTCCGACCCCAGGAAGAAAAGATGGCTGGCAAAAAAAATTCGTGGGTGGTTGCCATAGAAAGGGACTCCGAAATGTCCCCTCATCCCTGCAGGCTGCCTCCCGCTGGGCTGAGTGGGACAAGGAAGCAGCACAGGCCAGGACATGAGGCGGGAGCTTATTCTGGATTTGATTCTCCAGATAGACTGTTCCAGTGACCTCCGACACCACAAGAGAAACTCTGAGCACAGCCCATAGCCTAGAACAGTTACTTTTGTCTGTTTAACTTTCCCTCCCTCAGAAATGGGATATAGATTGAGTTACAGAGAAACAGTAGGATAGGAAAATGAAGAGGAAAGAAAGCTCCCAGATGATAGGAGCTTTAAAAGGGTCCTGGGCTTGCTTCACAGCTGTTTCTCTCTGACCACTCGGCTTTGCATCTGGGGCGGTAGGACATGTGTGCTGGGAGGGCTTGAGGTAGGACCGCAAGCTCAACGAGGCCTGTTTCAAAGCCCTGTTAAAAACATCGGGAAGTTGTAGCAGCCACCTTCCTCACAATAACCTGTGAAGTATGTTAGCCTGCCTTCTGTAATGGAATCCTATAAATCTGAGTGTGTTTGCCGAGGTAGGTGTGGGAATGTATCAGTCAATGAAGAGCTGCTGTGTGCGCCAGCTGATGGTGCATGTTTGTACTTGAAAGCCATTAGGTTCTATGCAAAATCCATGGGTGGCACTGTTGCACAGTGCTCTCGTAGGTGTGGAGGTTCTGGGCTGTGATTAACAGTTGATAGGCTGTGTACAAGTGTGCCTGCATGTCTGAGTGTGTACAGATGAAAATGGAAATGTGTGCCACAGTACACATTTCCATGCAGGGCAGACAAGTACATGGGCTCTGGAGTCAGTCTGACCTGGTTTTAGATCCTGGCTGGGTCATAACCAGATGTGTAACCTAGGGCGAGTCACTCCATCCGCAATTTCCTCAACTATGAAATGAGGGTCAAAATAAGGACCTTTCCAGACTGTCATGAGGGTTAGAAATGATCCGTGGCTGCACAGATTTTCTCGAATCCCCCTCCCGCAGCAAGCAGCCGTCCCGTGCACTGTGGATGTGCCTCTGGGGCCCAGGAACAGAGGAGACAAAATGTGATCCGTGTTTGAAACGGAGGAGAGGAGGCAGGTTTGTGAGCCTCCAAAGCAACCCAGCCTTCCAAAAGCCTCGGATTGAGACGGGGCGGGAGGGTGCCCAGGGTGGCACAGGGGTCCACAGACACCTTGGGTTTCTGGGTCCTGGGTGTAAATAAGAGGTTGAGAGGCCAGTGGGAGATGCAGGAAGCCAACAGCCTGCAGGCGCTTCCTTTATTTCCTTACCACGCAGCAACGGTTGAATACCGCCACCCACATCCACTTCCCACCTCCACCCCTCCCTAGCACACACCCCTTCTCTACTTCCGTTTCAAATAAGAGCAAGCGCGAGTGGAAAGCCGAAAGAGCAGTGGATTCTTCCCTTTCCTCTTGCCATTCCCCCTTAAAACACACCAGGAAACAGCCGCAGCGCGGAGAGCCGGGCCACCTTAACAGTAGAGTAATGGTCTGGCCTGGCGCCAAGCCCCACCCCCGCGAGGCCTGGCTCCTCCCCTCTCCCCTCCTGCTCCGCCGGGAGAGCGGGGGAGCCGGAGCCTGGCCCGAGTTGGCTGGAGCTGTTGCCATGACAAGCATTTTCTTAAGGAAGCTCTGCCGCTGAGACCCTCCGGGGCTGGGGGTGCGGAGGGGGCACCGACTTCCCGGGGAGCCACCCCTCTGGAGAGCGGGATCAGGGACCCCGGCCCGGCTCCCCGCGTCCGTCTGCGCCCGGGCGGGTCCCGCTCCTGGGAGCGCCGGGAGGAGCCCCGGCCCACGCCCCGGCGGCGGCCGTGAGGGCGAGCGCGCGAGCCTGCAGCTCCAGCCGGGGCCCCGCCGGTGCATGGAGGCGCGGAGGGCCGGTCCCGCCGCGGAGGGCCGGCTCTGCTGGAAGGGCAGGTAGGCTTGCGGGGAGCGTCCGCGCGGTGCCAACTTAGTTTCTCTGCTGCCTCTCGGCTCTTTGTAAAACTCCCGAATCGCCTCTTGCTGGCGTTTGTTCCACGCGGCTGGGTTTGGAGGACCTTGTTTACGTGTCTGCGTGTGCATCTATTTGTCACATACTGGCCTTCCTCTCTTCAGCCCCGAAGAACCGTGCAATCAAGCAAGTGATTTTCTTTTCTTTCCCTGGTTCTTGTCCTTCCCGGGCCGGAGGGTGGTGCGGGGAAGTGGCGGGGTTGCCCTCACACCCGCTCCAAGCCGTTGGAAAAAGCACTCACCCCCTCCTGCAGGTTCCCGCCCTCCCCTCGGCTTGGGAAAGAGACGCAGAATGGAAAACTGTTGCAAAAATATTTTCCGCGACTGTTCCCTTTCTCGAAAGCCCGAGACGAGAGAGGGAGGGAGAGAGAGGGCGGGCGCGCGCCTGGGGCTCCGGGGGAGCTGGAGTGGAGGTCGGCTGGAGGCAGTTTGGGGTGGGCACGGGGAGGGCGCAAGTTAATTTCCTTGGCTTTGCAGAGAAACCTCAGCAGTTTCTCTCCGCCGCTTGCAAAACATCCTGACTCTCACGTCTGTAATTAGCTGTGGAAAAAGCTGGGAGTTCCTCGCGCTGCTGCCGTCCGGGCGAGCGTGAGCGCCCTGCACCGCCCTGCGAGCGCCTCCGAGGGCGCCGCCCCGCCCCGCTCCAGTCCCCACGGGGAGGCCGGAGAGGGGCGAAGTTGAAAAGTTCGCGGGTTCGGGGCTGGAGTCGGCTGGCTGAGTGTGTGGGCCTCGGGCGCCCCGAGGGAGGCCCTCGGGTAGCCTACCGGGGAGCCAGTGAGGCTGGGGAGTCGTCGGCCTCGGGCCTCCCTCCCGCCCTCGCCCCCTCTCCGCCACCCCGGGCTCCTCTCGGAGGAGGCTGCGGCGGGCGTCTTTGCCGCGGCGAGTTCGGCCCCACGCTCTCGCGCTCGCCGCGGTGCCCGCCGCTCTCTCCCGGCTGTGTGCTCGGGGCGCGGGAGAGGCCGGCCGCGTCCCGGGTGAGGAGTGGGAGGCCCCTCCCTCCTGGGCCTTCTTGCCGGACTCACGGTAACTTGCAGAAGTGCTGCCGGCGCCTGCTGGCCTGCGAGGGAGAAAGTCAGAGGGAGAAATAGGCGGGCGCTCACCGCCACCGCGGGCGGGGACCGGAGGATGGGGACGAGGGAGTAGGAGATCCCGCTCTACCGCGCCACCTCCTCCTCCGGGGGGTTCCCGGCTGCAGTCTTCAGATCCTCCCCGCCCCTCGTCCCCGAGCCCCCACACCCACCCCAGGTGCCCCTGCTCCTGCCTTTCCTATTTGGAGGCCCCCACTGCTCAGGTCCCCCTAAAATGGAAGGGAGGGAGACCAGGGTCATTCCAGGCTGGGACAGGGAATAGAGGGGGCCCTCGGGTGAGATGGGGGTGCTGAGGAGGAGGAGGAGGCCGACGCTAGGTCCTAGACCTGGAGCGGACGGATCGGTTGGAGTGAGGCCCGGGGGAGAGAAAAACTGCCTGCAGCCCAGCTAGTCTGCTTGGAGGGAGGGGAAAGGCTTGGCTGAGAACCTGGAGTACAAGAGCCTTGGGGCAGAGCTTAAAAGGGGGCCCGGGAAGCAACCGCAGCCCGTTTTCACTCTGAGGTACTTAGTGATTGGCACCCCGAGCAGACAGCTCCCGCCGCCTGTATTCTGATCTGGGGGGGAATGTGGCCATCCCTAGTGGGCACGGGCCCACGGAATCAGTGCCCTTGCTCTGTAGGAAGGAGGGGGAAGTGCTTTTTTTTGCTACCCCGAGGGAGTCCTCCCCCCAGTCTTGGCAGGAGTACAACCCTGAAACCAAACGCTCTCCCCCTGTCACCCTGGGAACCACATCCCCATTCCTGCAGCCGGCCTGCCTGTGTCCGGTGCCCTGCCGGGGGTGGGTTCCAAGGCACTTTCCAGAGCCACCTGGAGAGGCCCCCGGTTGGCGCCCCTGAGGCAACTGCCCCGTGGCTTTGAGCCCTGGCCCTTGGGGGCCGGAGAATCTGCTCCCGGGCTCCAGTCCTACGGGGCAGGACGGCGAGTGCAGCAAACGCGAGGCTCCCGCTCCCGCTGCCTCTGGGCCCCACCCTTTGTCAGCCTCTCCCACAGCTCTGCTCCTCCCTCCGAGCTGGGCCTCAGAGCACTCCGTGGCTGGTGGAGAGAGCACTTAGCTGGGATGTGGAGGCTTGCTGCCTCCAGTCCCGGCGCGGCTCAGTCCCCTCCCCTTCCATTTCCCACCTCCGTGTCGCTGGATCAAGGTCAAGTGAAGGAGCCCAGCTTGCCTTTGCCTGCACTCACCGTGCCCAGCACGGAGGCGTTGGAGGCGCTCGGTCAGAGCATGATCTAAAAGGAAGAGGCACTTGGAGCATCCAGGCCGTCAACCTCTTTGAGGGGGACAGGAAGGGGTTCTTAGCTTGTCTTCTGGTCTCCGTTAACCTTCTGTACAATGGGGCTCCTACTCCCCAGATACTGCGGGAAGGGAGGGGCTGAGCCAGATCTGTGGATAGCTGCAGTCTCCGATGTCAGATGAAAGTCAGAATGGAGGCCCGAGGCAGGGGCCAGGAGTAGAGCAGTCAGCATTTGCCCGAGGTGTGGGTGCTGGAAGAAGCGAGTGGGGTGTGGGTGACGGAGAGCGCTGGGGCAAGGTCTCAGGAAGCCTTATTCTCCCTACTCACCTTCTGGAAGGTCCTGAGAGAGCTGCGGTGCCCCAGCTGCCACAACTTTCCACGAGAGCTTCTTTCCTCAGCAGCCCTCCTGGACCTCTTCTCTCCGTGCTCTTGACCTTGGGGCCAGCAACTGCCTTGAGGGTCAGCCCTGCCCATCCCAGGAAGAACGTTCCAGGCCCACCTAGCTTGGAGGGAGATGAGTGCGCTCTTCTGGGTCCCCTAGAAAGCGCGTTTGCTTTGACCTTGCGGGGACATCCCGCTGCCCCCTTTCCCCAGGCTGCCCTCACCTGGGGGCTCCCCACCCAGCTCCTGCTCCCCAGGGCTTTGCTTCCTGTCCTCAGTTGCTAAGTGGGGATGAGGTGGGTGAGAAAGGTCGGGCCCAGGGCCCATCTAACTAGACCGACAGCCTTTTTCCCCTGGGTTCCTCATTTCTCCTTTTTTAAACGTAGTTTATAAAACATATCTGTACATTTTATACATTTTAAAAATTGAGGGCCGGGAATTTAGCTCAGTGGTTCTGCTGCCTGCCTCACAAGTGGAAGGACCCGAGTTCGATCCCTGGTACCAAAAAAAAAATTTGACACAAAATTGCACACACAGGTACATGTGATGTTTTGATATATGTACAGATTGCACAGTGTTCAAATCAGGGTAAACGTATCTGTCTTCTCAAACATTTATCATTTCTTTGTGGTGAAAACATTCAAAATCTTTTCTTCTAGCTTTTTTGGAACATTCAGCGCATTACTTGTAACACCCCTACGGTTCCCTGTCATACCAGAACGGTTTCTTGTGGCTTTCCTCATCCCTTCTACTCTTGTCAGCCTCTGGTAACCACTATTCCACTCTCAGCTTCTGTAAGATTCACTTTTTTCAGACTCCATGTATTGGTGAGGTCATGTGGAACTTGTCTTTCTGTGCCTGGCTTAGTTCCTTCCCTGTGTCACAAGTGACAGGATTGTTTTCTTTTTAATGGCCAAATAGTATTCTGCTATATATGTACACTACATTTTCTTTATGCATTCATAAGTTGATGGACACTCAGGTGGTTTCCATTTTCTTGGCTGTCATGAATAGTGTGGCCATAAACATGGGAGTACTTCTCAAACATACTGATTTTATTTCCTTTGAATATATACCCAGCAGTAGGATTGCTAGATCATATGGTATTTCTGTGTGTGTGTGTGTGTGTAGTGCTGGGGTTCGAACTGACAGCCTTGTGCATGCCAAGCAAGTACTCTACCACTGAGCTACACCTCAGCCCTTTTTAAATTTTTTTTTCTTTATTTTGTACCAAGGATTGAACTCAGAACCTTGTGCCTGCAGGGGCAGCACCTCTGCACTAAATCCTGGGCCCTTTTAAAAATTTTTTGAGGAGTCTCCATACTGTTTTCCATGATGGCTGTATCATTTCCCCTTTTCGGTAGTCACAGGGATCTCGAAGGCCATGGGGCCGGAGTCCAAGGCCCTGTGGAATGTTTTGTACTCTGCTTCCTCTCCCAGCCAGCATCTCTTTGTGTCCTCTTTCCTCTTTCCCTTGTGTGAGCCATTCCTGCTCCTCTGAGTTATTTCCTCTACAGATGTTGAAACAGAGACGATGGGAATCTGCTTCTTCGTCTGCCTCAAACCAGGCCTGTGTTCAGCCCACCCAAACTTTGGTTGCAGTGAAACCAGGGGGACCTAGTTCAGTGGAGGCAGGGGCTCCCCGGGGGGAGGAGCCATGGATAGTGGCCTGGGGACAAAGGGCAGAACCTGGGCTTCAGAGGGTGGGGTCCTCTCTCTTCTGCCTCCACCTCTTCTCACTGGAGCTCTTCTCTGACTGGTTTTCCACCCCATCTTCTCTCCTTTGGCTTCCCAAGTCTCATACCCCAATCCGGTGGCAGTTCACCAAAGATGAATTAGCATGGACTCAGAGGCCTCTTTCCCCTTTCCCTCATGCTACCATTTAGGGTGAGCAGAGGGGTTTGGGGTAGAGTTTTTATGTATTTTTTTGAGACAGGGTCTCACTATGTAGTTCAGCATGGCCTTGAACTTGGAATCCTTCTGCCTCAGCCTCCTGAGTGCTGGGATTACAGATGTACTCCACTGCACCCAGCTTATGGGGTAGTGTGTTTATTGCTACCAAAGTTAAGGACTTGGGTTACCTTCAAGGGAACTCAGCCCAGGACACCTCACAGCAAGGTCCACCTAATTTGCAAACTCAGTGTTGGGTACAAACCAGTGCAAGCCCCGTACGCAATATTAAACTGTATGCACATTTACCTACCACTCTTCTCAAAATTTATCCCAA